TCTCTCTCTCTCTCTCTCTCTCTCTCTCTCTCGCTCTCATTTTGATATTTATATTTGACAAAATTTAAATTTTAGTTTATTTAAAATCAAATTGTTTTACAATTATCTTTTATAAATATGACATCAATAAAATTATATTTGATAAGGGGCAATTATTAATGTCCCTCTAACACATTTATTTATTTATTTTATCAGTGTAATATTGTTTTAAAAATTCATTTTGATCCAGAAGGGCAATACCATGATGATCGGCACGCACTTGATCCAGATCATAAATCACGGGTGACTTTCCAAACATAATGAGCAACTCTGAACAAGTTGGTCTTTTATTGGCCACACCTGCAATCATACGGGCCAATAAGTCCTTTAGCTCCGGATGCACATCTTGCCTGCGTTCATAAAATAAATATATTAACATTTAAATCGCACGCAAGGTAAATCATAAAACAAATCATAAGTCAAAATATGTTGATATGATAGATTAGTTGACAACATAGAAGTTGACAGCATAGAGATTATTTTAGCATTAAGTCTATGTGGTGTGTATTTGGGTTTTGAGATTTGGTTGACAACATAGAGAAGTTGACAGCATAGAAGTTTGACTGTAATGGCAATTTGTATATATTTATAATTCAGAATGACTAATGTGGTTTATGGAATTGCGATGCACCCTCCCCTTTGACCGCCGAAATTATATTATGATATTTGTTATTTTATATTTTTAATTATAAAATTATCGACTTTGAGATAACATAACAAACTTATTGTTTAAGTGCAATTTTCATTTACTATATTAATAATAAAATGAACCTTTGAATCCACAGTTGCCAAAATAATTAATTAATAGTTTCACATTAACATAATATATTAAATAACAACTTATATACAGTATGTATATAAATCAATTAATTCAATTCTAAACAAACAAGCTAAAAATAATATGCATAACACTATATATGATATAAAAGTTATTATTTAGGAGAGAGTAATCATGCAGTCTTAGACTACATAAATATTATACTTATATTCAAGTTGGTGTTTGATCCATATATAATTTTATTCTAACATTAGTTATATAAAATTGAAATAATAAATCTTACTTACAGTTTAATAGACTAACTTTTATAATCTCTCTCTCTCTCTCTCTCTCCCCCTCTCTCTCCCTCTCTCTCTCTCCCCCTCTCTCTCTCTCTCTCCCTCTCTCTCTCTCCCTCTTTCTCATTTTGACATTTTGCTAATTATATTTGACAAAACATGTTAAATCACAATCAGGGTAAATCATACTTGTTAATATCGACATTCATGAATTGAATAAACATAGCGCCGAGACTATACACGTCGGCGAGTGTGTTGTAATTGCCACCACTTTGCACCTCGGGCGCTTTATAGCTCACTTTGCCCACGTTTGAATGTATCTCCGACGACGATTCAATCACCTTGGCCAATCCGAAATCGCATACCTTCACCACGGACCCTTTCAGCAATATATTGTTCATGTTGATATTGCGATGCTTTATGCGCTTACTATGCAAATACTCAATACCAGCGAGTATACCATCGATCAGAGTTAGCATGATAAAATACGCCACCGGGCTAATCATCTCGTTTGTTTTGCGTTTATATACACTTTGTATAATTGCCGATACGTGATCAAGATTATGTTCGCAGTATTCCATCTGGATGTAAATTTTATCGAGTTCGCTGCAGGGTGTAGCTTGCTCGAGCCACGATTGGTAATGTTTGACAATGTTCACGTGATTGCACGATTTCAATATGCTGATTTCTCTCTCGATATGTACGTAATTTTGTTCACCTAGATTTAATAAACATTTATAAAACGTATTAGTTAATTATCAACATCTATTAATACTTAATATTTTAATTAATATTAATTAATTAACTATTATTGTAATTATATTAATTCATAAATAAATATGTTAATTTAATATTTCACTTACTGGTTAGCTCTAACTTTTTTACAGCAAAAACCTGATTGCCCGTATTAGACTCAACTCGATAGACTTCACTATATGTGCCACTACCAATAGATTTGAAACTTTTAAAGTTATTCGCAAACTTACCATTATCAACATACAATAATATCTATATGGCATGTATTTTATTTTTAAATTAACAACAAATTAACTTAATGAACAAATATCAATATGTTTTTGTTTATAAAAATATATATAATATTTATATAAAATTAAAAACATAAACCTACCTCAATTTGTTTTACATTGTATTTGGTGTGCAAAAAGTATTTTACAAATTCATGATTGTAATCATACTGTTCTATGGGTTTATTCCTGGCTTTAGTTTCATTATATAGCAGTTGTTTGATGTCCTCTTTCACATCGTGGTAAGGTTCACACCACTGGGCTTTATTGGCTAAAATATGTTCAATCGATGGTCTCTCATCAGGATGATTTTGGGTACATTTTACAGTAACATCGTATAGAGCTTTATGGATAAAATCATCTTTGTTGAATAGTTCCCTTATAATTAAATTAAATTAATTAATTCATATATTATTAATAATTATTGAATATAATTATATTGGAATAGCAGACCATAAAACACATGTGATTTACCAAATAGACCACATCACCAAAAAGATGTTTTACATAAAAGTATTGCTACATGTTAGTGTATTATAATTTATAAATAAAGATTTGCAGTTTTCTACAGTAAAACATCTGTGCTGTCAACATTCTATGCAATAAACTTCTCACACCACATATACTTAATGTTAAAATAATTTCCATTCAATTAACACTCTATGTTGTAAACCCTCTATGATTACGGTTATATTTATTTTAATTAATTTTAAAAATCTCATTAAGTAAAATAAATATGTAAAAATATAATTATGATTATCAATATGTTTTGTTTTTTCAACAATCCGTACTAATCCAAATTAATTAATTACGAAAACAAGCATAATAATTATTGTTATCCAGTCGTCCAACAAAACTTGTCGCCTCAGAAATCGTTATATCTCCCAAACGGAATGAGCTAGATCAATTTTGTAAACTGTAAAATGATGGTCCACATATCTAGTTTTTTGTAGCAAAAAATTATTGAAATCACGTGATTAGAACATAGAATTTTTTGGGTCATTTCAAAATGCCATAGTTTTAGCCCAGTTGAAAGGGGGGTCGGAAGGGGGCGGGTATGCTATTTGGAAGAGGAGATGTCAAAGTATCTTATAGCAAAATTTGATTAAAATTAGTTTAGCCATCTACGAGAAATTGATGATTTCATTAGCATTAGGTCTACGGGAAAAAATTGTTCTGAAGTCGACCTTTTATAACAACAAAAATGTAGTATAAAAAGGTCAAAATTGGGCCATTTTTGTCCAAATATTGGGTCAAATTTCTTGAATATTTTGTTCGCTACAAAATAATATTTATTCGATGTTTATGAAACTTTGCTATAATATACTTTAACATCTCCTCTTCCGAATAGCATACCCGCCCCCCTTCCGACCCCCCTTTCAACTGGGTTAAAACTATGGCATTTCGAAATGACCCAAAAATTTCTATGTTCTAATCACGTGATTTCAATAATTTTTTGCTACANCCCCCTTTCAACTGGGTTAAAACTATGGCATTTCGAAATGACCCAAAAATTTCTATGTTCTAGTCACATGATTTCAATAATTTTTTGTCAGAAAAAACTATATATGTGGACCATCATTTTACAGTTTACAGAATTGATCTAGCTCATTCCGTTTGGGAGATATAACGATTTCTGAGGCGACAAGTTTTGTTGGACGACTGAATAAGTTATAATAAAATTACAGTTTATAACTAATTAGTTGAGCATAAGCTCAATTAAATTTTAAATATATATTTATGTTACAGGCAGTGATGGCCACCCGATCCGCGGTCTCCGTTAGCGTACAGTCCGTTATATTGAGAAAATCGCAGTAAACGTCGTTTAAGACCACCTTTTTCTCCGAGTCCTTGGATTTGAGATAACTATAAGCCTTACGTATGACTTATTCGGCGGCAGACCTTTTAATTTTGAACTATTTTAGTGAAATTAGTCTTGATTAGTAGATTAAGGCATCAAAATAAAGTTACATAAATATATTAATCTGATAACCAAAGACAACCAAGTGATGACAATTTTGGTGACCACTTGTACATACCCTATAGCATGTGTTGCCAAACATGTTCCTGTGCAAATTATGAAAGGTTTTGCAATGCCTCGGGATTTTTAATAATTTTTTATGAAAGGTTTTGGTTGTGCAAATTTTGAATTGGTTACTCTAGATTGCATCCTTGGCTCAATTGCGTATCCTTTAAACATAGTAAATTTATAATACTTAGAATATTAAATAAATATTAAAACTGTAATTTAAACTATTTGTAACAATATTCCTTAATTGATTTTACTAATTTAGTTTGATTGGAACCAATGCATTCTGGAATTTTAGTTTACACTTCAAAAATAATTGAACTTATTTAATAATTAAATTAATTCTGATTAAAATTTTATATTTTTAATATTATACTGTATAACATATTATTTTTATTTAATCATCCAATTAATTGAATACCAATATACAGATCAATATTACATTTAATTAAAAGAATATTATTAAAACCAAAATCAATTTAAAATATAAATTTATGTAAACAATTCAATATTTTAATTTAAATTTATTAATATTCTTTATTATCAATAAAATAATTATTATTCAATTGACTAAATCCAATTAATTATATTTATTATTTAATTTTTAACCACAATTTATATATGAAGAATGTAGTTTATAGGATCTTTCTAGGAAAGGGTAATTTTTCTCCATGTTTATCCTGTGGGACTAATGTTAAGTCTATGGAAGAATGCTTTAACATGGGTTTCTATGGAATTACAGCTTAAGTCTATGACATAGGGTTAATATGGGTAATGTTGAGTTGATAGACAACGATAAGTCTATGGGCTAATGCTATTCCTATGAACTAATGTTGAGTCTTATTTGATTGCGATTAGCATTCGATTGGAGTATTATCCAAATTAATAATGTAATATCTTCATTATTGTAAAATAAGTAAGTTAAATAGCAATGAAATGTGTCAAATGCATGTGATAATGTGTGAGGTGGCTAAACCTTATTACAAATAAATATATTAAACTAGCGTTCAAAACCCGCGGTTTTATTTTAAACAGCCTATCGTTGCTTACAAACTATTCACTCCAAAACAACTGTTACCACATTTTCTCTTGTTTTTTATCCCCTTATTTTATGTAGTTTTCACTATCCCTCCCACCCCCTTATTGTTACGTCTGTCAGGGTTGTCCCTTGCATGACATTGTCTTATATTACTTGATGATTATTATTGTAAATATTCTACCAGTTACCTCAAAAATTAATAATTTTTAAATTAATGTTACCATTGAAAAATTATAATAAAAACCTAAGATAACTAGCAAGTAGTTGTAGGTAACTTTAGTAACTATAATTGACAAGTTTAGTCTGTATGTGGGCTCAAATCTCGACCAATTTATTGATGTTTTATGTGTTGGTAATGATTATCCTGTGTTTCACTATCTATGCTAATAATGTAATGCATTTGTGTTGCATCTCATATGCATCTAATATTTAGTGGTTTTCATTAAGTAAACCAATGATTGACTTACTTTTGAGAATAAATAAAATATTTGTTCAGATTTTGATAATAGAGAGACA